ACCAATTTGGCATTCTGTAATTGTATCTTAAAAATGGTATTGATACCATCCCCTGGTATCGATACTACCCACATAGTATCGATACCCTCTTCAACTGGTATCGATACTACCCTTAAGAAATACACAAATTTATCCCTTGTAGTATCGGTGTTGTTATAACGGTACAAATACTCGAAGCCCAGAATGTCCATTTTCACTTCGAAAATCAACCCAAAATCTACTCAAATCCCTTATATCATCCTTTATTAAGCCCTTAAACTAAACTTCTTTCATTCAAACAAACTTTCCTCCAATTACTACTCCCTAACATACGAAATCTCACTAAAACACTTACATTTAAAAACCATGCCCAGTTTTCAACCAAGCTCTTAATCAATTCTAATACTCTTAATCCTTTAGTTAGCTCATTGACAAGTCAAATATCTCAATAAAACTTCAAAAACTACTATATATCAAATTTTCATTTCAAAACCCATTTTACAAAATCCTTTCGAATTCACTTATCTTGTTATTTTAATCCTATATAAGCTTTCCTTAAGCTTATATAACACCCCAACTTCCATTACCAACCAAAAATTAAAGGAAACTCACAAAATTTAGAATCTTACCTTAAGGAGGAAGCTCATGGTAGAAAAAAGAAGAGAATAAGAAAGTAGTTTCCATATAACTTTAAATCCCACATGTCAATCCCCTACTAAAGGAGATACTTATCATTTAAATATGAAATGACCATAATGCCCTCTCCATTAAACCAAAATTTCCATCAAACCCTACACGGAAATTCCACTATAAATCTTTGAACTTATTGAATTATTCTAATTCAACCACTGAGTTTAAAATTCTTACATTTTGGCCACTGACCCGATGATTGGGATGTTACAGTAACAATATCCTTTCTGATGGGATGAATAACTAACAAAGACACACCAAATTGCCCGATGATCAAGTTTATATTTATGAGGATTGTGGTCATGGAAAAAGACAGTACAACCAAAGACACGAAGAGGAACAAAATAGGTAAAAGGTTTGAAGTGAGGGAATTTAGTGGAAATGATGTCCTGTGGACACTTAAAGGCAATAATCTTACTAGACAAACGATTGATTAGAAAAGTAGTTGTTAAGAGAACCTCATCCCAAAGGTATTTTGGAATATTAGAAGAAAAAATAAGTGTTCGGGTTACCTCAAGAAGATGACAGTTTTTACGTTTGACAACCCTATTTTGTTGTGGATTGTCGATATAGGAACTGAGGTGGACTATTCTGTTTTTTTGGAAAAAAGATCCCAATGACCGAGAGAGGTATTTATCACCATTATCAGATTTAAAGATGCCAATGGAACTTTGAAATTGTGTTTCAACCATTTTGTGGAATCGTTTGAAGATGGTACAAGACTCAGATTTGTCCTTCATAAGAAAGATCTAAGTGGTACGAGATTGGTCGTCAATAAAAGTAATAAACCAACGAATTCTAAGTTACTGTGAGATGGATGCGATAAGGATTTGGATGGAGTCCAATTGGTTGGACGACCATGGATCTTCCAGTATTTATCACGAACATGACCAGGTTTCCGACAGTGATCGCACTAGGGACGACCTTTCTTGACACGGGTGTCACCGGATGAATGGGTATTTAAGGAAGAACTTTTAATGATGGAGGAAGTATCAGAGAGCGGCAGCTTTCTTCACGGTGAACTTTAGAGAACACCTCGCGAAGAGACAGAAGAGGCCTGATGCCCAAAATCTGGCCATGAACATCATCAAGAGATACGGACAGTCCCGATAGGAATTGAAAAATATGTCATTTTCAAGTAGCCCATTATAGAGTTTGGTATCTGCACCGGTTTGCCAATCGAGAGACTCAAATAGATCAATTTGCTACCATAAGCAAGACAGTTGAGTGTGCTTCAAGTCGTTGATTCGTCATTCAATGGTAAACAGAGCGGAAGAGTTTTCTCGATTGGAGTACGTCTCCTTGGAAATCACCATGATGCCTAGCATTGCCAATCATCATCCCCGAGGTCAAATCCTGAAATTCACAATAATCACGAGTAAAATGAGAAGTACAACCCAAATCGGTAGATAATTTGCTAATCAAAAGAAGATTATAAGTCAAACTTGGAACAAATAGAACATTAGATAGAGTAATGTGGCTATTAATGCGAATTGAGCCACTGCCCTTAAACGGTGATAGGGAGCCATCAGCAGTACGAACACTGCATGAGATACCATTTTTGTGAAATGTGGAAAATAAACTGAAGTTGGTTGTCATATGATCACTTGCTCCAAAATTAACAATCCAAGAGACATGCCCTGATGAAGAGGATAAGAAGGTAAAAGGAGAATTACATTCACTAATAGTACAGGTAGTCTTGGACTCAGTAGCAGGAGGAATCTGTAAATGACCAAACATCTGTCGTAGATCGTCCAACTATTGATGAGAAAATGAACTACCCTCCAATGTCATTACAACAGAGTTATTGTGAGATGGACGCGATGAGGATTTGGATGAAGTCAAGTTGGCTAGACGACCATGGATCTTTCAACATTTATCACGAACATGACCAGGTGATCGCACTAGGGTCGACCTTTCTTGACACGGGTGTCACCAGATGAATGGGTATTTAAGGCAAAACTTTTAATGGGTGGAGGAAGCATCAGAGAGCGGTGGTTTTCTTCACGGCGAACTTCAGAGAATACCTCGCAAAGAGACAGAAGAGGCCTGATGCCCAAAATCCGGCCACGAACATCATCAAGAGATATATACAGTCCCGATAGAAATTGAAAAATACATCGTTTTTCAAGTAGCCCTTTGTAGAGTTTGGCATTTGCATTGGTTTGCCAATCGGGAGACTCAAATAGATCAATTTATTGCCATAAACGAGACAGTGAGTGTGCTTCAAGTCGTTGATTCGACATTCAATGGAAAACAGAGCGGAAGAGTTTTCTTGATTGGAGTACGTTTCCTTGGCAGCGTTCCAGATTTCTGAGGCGGTGGGGTAGAGCATGAAGTTCACGCTAATGTCAGGCAACATAGAGTTGAGACCAAGCAATGTCAGTCAGGACATAATCATGGTGTTCTCTGTGAGCCAAGTGTCGTATTGGGGGTCGGAGGGATCGGGGACCAACATATTGTCAGAGAGATATTGTTGTTTTCGGCAACTGGTGATGATCAGACGAACAGATTGAGACCAAACAATGTAATTCTCACCATTTAGAAGATGACTAGTAATGGACGAGGAAACCGAGTCGAAAGGAGACGGCTGAACAATGGAAGTTTCAGCCTTGGATGGCAGGTTGGACGAAGAATGATATGCCATGATTGTCGAGGAATTGAGAGCTTGGGATATGTTGCGAACTAGCAGGGAACACTGTTATAAGTGACAATCGGAGATTAGAAGAGATCGACGCTAGGATGAATAACAAATAGGCAATGCGGCGAGGAGACAGTGCTGGCTAGATAGTTACCAATAGCGGCAAAACAGGTACCAAACAGCGGAACATGAAGGGCTGCCATTGTGATGAGGGCAGCGTTGGACCGGTATCGCGACAAGAGTAGTACGACGAGGAGAGCAACACTGGAACAAAAGCGGCACTGCTGTGGTTGCACAGCAAGGAAGACGGCGCTACAAAGGGGTGGTGCTGCGAAGCATTTCACAATTGGAAGGACTGCAGTGTATAGAAGGCACACTGCTGGTCGGAAGGATGACGAACGGCGGCGGCATCAAGGCTAGGATTGACACCAACGACTAACACCATGTAGAAACAGAGTTTTTCGGCTTTGGTAAACAGAGTTTTCCGACTTTGGTAAACAGAGTTTTCCGATTCTAGTAAACAAAGTTTTTGATTCTGAAATTATATTTATTCAAAGAACAATTGCATATTACACAAGAAGAAACATGGGATTTTTATATACATGAATTAGAGACCTAGATGAGATAGGATTCATCTTTTCTACAAATTACGAGATAGTTTTTTTTAGATAAGTTAGGATTTAGAGTTTAACTTAAACACTACTTACATTATGCTGGGTGGTCATTTTAGGATATATGTTGACTTACCAGATGCTGGAAACCGCATGAAGATACTGAAAATATTTCTCGCACAAGAGAGTATAGGACCTAGTTTCTCATTTGAAGAACTTGCAAATGCAACTGAGGGGTACTCTGGCAGTGATTTGAAGGTAAAGTACTGATTTTAGTACCACTTGAATTGTTGAAGTCCAGCTAATAGTTCTCTGTAATTTTATGTGCAGAACCTCTGCATAGCTGCAGCATACAGGCCTGTTCAAGATCTTCTAGAAGAAGAAAACAATGTACTTTCTTGAGCATTCAATGATGTATCAATATGATTGCGCTTCTAGGCTAATGGTCTAATCTTTCACTTCAATTCCTACTCACCATCGGCATTTTCTTCCTATACCTTTTATACTCTCCTCGTGGTCCCATGCTGGGTGTGGAGTTGGGACGAAAGAATCATCCTGAGTTGCAGAATAGTCTGATTTTTATTCACTTCAATAAAATCTAAACTTTTATATAATTATATAGTCACATTAGCAGTTTATTACTCACTTCTAATACGATTCTAATGTTTTTTAGCATTCTAAATATTTTCATGTGATCATAATATCTTTTCTATTTTTAATCTGAATAAAATTCACACCTTTCAAATAATTGCAATACTGCTTGAACCTGAATCACCTAAATAAACATACCTCTCTTTACTATTGAATTGCTCCTTGAGTTCAATTTTTATTTATTTTTATCAAAATACAATCAGAATATAGTACTGAAAGCTATGATATTTTCACAATTTTTAAATTACTATATTTCAATATTTCTTACCCTAGTTATCTCATTTTTTTTAATAATTATTCGATCACATAATGGGTACACTTACTCTTGAATAAAATCTTTCACCAACTCCCAAACATAAAATCAAATTGAGCATATCCAATGTCCAACCACAAAGCACGGAACAAAAAGCAAGACAATCGCAATGTTCTTTTTCAGTTATGATAAATGACCCTCGTCTGATATGTTCTCTTGTTAACAAACCCTTCAACTTGGTGTACAAACTGCAATCCAATCCAAAAAAAAAAAAAGATAACCATTCCTTCCAAGCATTCTTATATCAGATCCGCCACATTCATCGGCATTTCGTCGATCTGGGTACTATAGTACTGCTCTATATCTCTGAGAATCTTGATGTCATCACTTTTTACAAAATTAATAGCAACACCCTGCACGGCAACGATACGAAATAATCATAAATATGTACAAATATATATATATATATATATCCCCCTCTTTCTATACATTCATATAAAGTAACCAGAAAACAACCATTTAAGCAGGCAGCTGAAAGCAAAGATGAATACAAAACGGCTTTCCTCTAAATTGGATCTTAATTTTCATTTTTTGCTCAACATGCAGTACCCATATACCAAACTGAAGGGGGACTGCGATATTCAAAATCTTTAGAAATTATATGCAATAGATAAAAGGAAAGGATAACTGAGTAAGAAACATGTCTCATCCAAAAATCAAAATAGATAGTAAAAGAAATACCTTTCTTCCAAAACGACCTGAACGACCAATCCTGTGGATGTAAAGCTCTCGATTATTTGGCAGGTCATAATTTATCACTAGGGACACCTGAAACCAGGAAGTAAAATTAGCAAAAAATGAATATAAAATGAAGGCCTTCTAACTGACAGAAATTACAAAACTTTTCATTGTAGCACTTATTTTTTTCCCTTGGATTAAGGAAGCATGTAAAAAAACACATGATATGCACTTAATTCTAGCATAAACATGATCTCAAGGCATTTTTATGCACAACCCCTTAGGAAGTAAACACATGCCGTTAGGTTCCATTCCCACTACTATATATAAACTAGTCTCATAGGTAACGAGACCCAACCATACTTGAATCAAGTTATATTTTCTCATCTGAAAATAAAAATAATTAAACTCCTACTCAACTAGAAAACATGGAACCAGCAAAACTGCACCAGAAAAGTAGACATGAAAATCCCTCCCCAAGACTTGCCTGTTGAACGTCAAGCCCCCTGGCCCAAACATCTGTTGTAATGAGAACACGGGTTGCACCATCCCGAAACTCAGCCATAATTGCATCTCTTTCCTTCTGAGGCATATCCCCGTGCATTGATGATACCGTAAAGTTATTGCTACGCATTTTCTCAGTCAACCAATCAACCTGTTATAAAAGCTTGATTAGAGAGATTTCTGTTACAATGTTGAAAAGCAAATGCATGCCTATTAAGACTCAGAAGAGACCTTTCGTTTTGTATTGCAGAAAATAACAGCTTGGGTGATAGTCAATGTATCATAGAGATCACATAGTGTATCGAACTTCCACTCCTCTCTTTCAACAGCCACAAAAAACTGTTTAATCCCCTGCAATCATGAAAAAAGAACAAAAGCCTGCATCAAATTGCAAAGTAGAATTTTTGGAAATTCCATTAGAATAACAGCTTTTGAATTACCTCCAGTGTCAACTCATCACGCTTCACAAGGATCCTTATAGGATCAGTCATAAATTTGCTCGTCATTTCCAAGATTTCGTGAGGGAGTGTAGCAGATATTAAACAAACCTACAATAATTTATTAAAGAGAAACAAAGCAATTTCAACAACATAAACAAACTAGATAAGGTGAAACAAAGCAGCAGACTTGTGGCTATACCACAGATGCCAGTAAGATAAATAAAGAGGATCACAACTCAAATTCAACTCATGAATTTCAAAATCGAGCATGAAACAGTAAGCAACACAAACTAGGACTTTCCATGTTTGGGGTTCTTTTGGAAGGATAATAAGAAAGCTAATAACAAAGAATAAAGCAAACTTAGACAAAAAAGGAGAAGGAACCTGAAGCTCTGGTGGAAGATGCCTGTAAACATCATAAATTTGATCTTTGAACCCTCTGCTCAACATCTCATCAGATTCATCAAGAATCAATAGTTTAATAGCCCTAGTACGTAGGGTCCTCCTCTTGATCATATCACAGACTCTCCCAGGTGTTCCCGACACTACATGAACTCCGTGTTCTAGCTTTCTTATATCTTCGCCCACACTTTTGCCTCCAATACAAGCGTGTGCCTGTATGTTCATGAAATCACCAATTGTCCGTATCACTTTCTCCGTTTGCGATGCCAGTTCTCTCGTGGGCGACAAGATCAATGCTTGAACCCTGATGAAAACAGTTAACATTATAATCATTGCAAATTCCAAGACAATTCATGCTTCAAACTAGACACAATAAATTACCTATTAACACTAAAATAAAATAAAATAAAAAAAATAGGGAATCCTTCATGAGATTCAAAGCCTCAAAGACAGAACCTAATTTATCATCAAGCAAATAAAATTATTTCAAACTTAGGGTTTTAGCTATAAGTTAGCTAAGAATTAGGGCAGTCGGGTGGGGGGCGAAGATATCAACGACGTATATCTTAGCCAACAGAAAAAATGAGGTACTTTTAAAGTATAAAAATAATTAAAATAACAAATTACTCTCTGCTAGCCGTGTCGACCACTTGGCAAACGGTGAGGGCAATCATGGAAGTTTTTCCGGTACCAGATTGGGCTTGTGCAATGACATCACGACCATTGATTATCGGCATAACGGCTCTCTGCTGGATGGCCGATGGCTTTTCGAAGCCGTAGTTATAGATTCCACGGAGGAGATCGTCTTTCAACCCCATCTGATCGAAACTCAATATCGGCTCGATTCCTTCCGTCGTCTCGAACACTAACTTCTCATCCTCGGCACCCATGCGCCGAGCCACACGGCTCGTAGTCGCAGTCGCAGTTGCTGCCATTCCTGGGGTTGTTTTCGGCTCTGCCGGAGCTTTTTCGCTCGAAGGTGAAATAAAATTAAAATAAGTTTTGGAAGAAAAATGAGAGGGCGGCCTTTGAGGGGTGATATTAAAGAAACTTAAGGTTGCCGAGGTGAATGATTATTTCTTTTTGAATAAATTATATACATAATTATTAAATTATGTTAAAATAATTGTTTGTCATTATAACTTTAAAACTTATAAAATAATCAATAAACTTATAGAACAATTATAAAATAATAATTAAATTTATAAATTATTATAAAATAATCTTTAAGTTTATCAATTTTTATTATTATTTTGTTATGTGTAATCATCATTTTGTAACAATTTATAAATTTAACGATTATTCTATAACTCTCATTTTAAATTGATCCTTAAATTTTTGAATATTTTAATTTCATCATCAAATTATGACTCTTATTTTAAATTAGTCCTTAATTTTTTTAACATTCTAATTTCATTCTTAAAATGTAACTCTCATTCTAAATTGGTCCATAAACTTTTGAATCTTCCAATTTCATCACCATTTTCATCCAAATATATAATTAGTTTCAACCATAATTTAATCAAAATTTATTTTTTCTCAAACATATAATAATATAACTTGGTCTAACGATTTTATTAATAAAGGATATGAGTAGTATATATGTATGGTTTAAGATAAAATTGAAATGTTCAAAGAGTTTGGGGACAGATTTAGAATGAAGGTCATAGTTTGGGGATGAAATTGAAATGTACAAAAGTTTGAGAACTAATTTAGAATGATAGTCATAGTTTAGGGATGAAATTGAAACATTTAAAATTTTAAGGACTAATTTAAAATAAAGGTCATACTTTGAAAAATGTGATGTAATTAACTCTTTATAAGTTTATAAAACTTTAATAATCTTAATTTTGTGTAAAATAACTTTTATTTGAATAAAAATTATTAACGAACTAACAACGTTTGTTGTTTATGTGATATATTTCTATATACTTAAGTGTTGACATCACTTATCAGTTATATATACAATATATCATATAATATGTTCATTTTTCTTATATATAAATATATGTATATGTGTGTGTGTGTGTATAGTTTAAAATAACAAAGAAAATAGTTAATTATGCAATCAGAAAGAGAAACATTGTCCTCCATTGAATCTGAATTGGTATGAAATGCATTTGGATTTGGTGGAAAAAGGAAACGAAGACTCCATGAGAGACGGAGCAGAGAATTGGATGAGCTTATGGGCTTGTCGACATGGACCAAGTAAAAGCCAGGTCAGGTTGACAAATGAAACAACTCCTTAATACAACATGTAGTATGAAGCAGATTGGATCAAGTAGCAGAATTACATACCTGGTGGAAGCGCAGTACAAACAAATAACAAAATGAATGAGCCGGCCATGTTTTCCTCCGGCTTTCTTCAACTTCATGGATACAGGCTGAGAATTTTTGTCATTAAAGTTTCCCAAGGCAATGCAGATTGCAGAGAGTACCAAGTTCAAGAAAGCCGTGGAAAATCATGCAACGAACCCATTTACAGTATCCAGGACAAAATTAAGCAAAATTGGGATGTTTCTACTTTGGAAGCAAGGGAATTAAGCAAAGATAAATGGTTATCGGAGGCGAGACAGAGAGAGATACGAGAGGAAGATAAGAGGCAATGGGCTCAGATTCTGAGCAACTCAAGGTGTTGATTCCTTGGGCCTTACGGAGTGCGGCTAACCCAGAACGCACGTTCGGCTGACGAGTGCTATGTCCACCCGTTTCAGGCAAAAGGTTAACCGAGTTACTGAGTGTATCAGGTGGGGCCAGTGGCTCTTACAGCATACTTGGTTTCTTTGCTCACCTCTGTTAATATTATTGTCACCGTCTCCTTAAATACATCATTTTAAAATAAATAAATATATAATGCTTAAAAAAAAGTAAAAAAATAAAAACTTGTTTAGAGAAAATTGGTATAGATTCTAAACTAACTTGCCTGATGCAAATTAATTTATTTAGGGCCTATTTGTTTGGTTGTAATTAATTTTCTGGAAATTGAGTTCTGAAAAATGAATTACTGGAAATTGAATTCTGGAAAATGAATTACATTTCTAGAAAACGTTTTCCGGAAAATATTTTTTGTAAAATGAATTACATTTTTCTAAAAAACATCTGGAAAACGTTTTATGATAATGTTTGAAAGATGTTTAAACCTTTTTCCACTAGATGATGAGTTTTTTTTAAAATTATTTATTACAAATATTAAATACAATAAATAATATTATTTATCATAAAACTTAATATTATTATTTTTAAAATATTAAAATAATTTATTTATTATTAAATATTATTTTTATAATTTTATTAATAAAAATATTAATATTGGTATATTTTATTGAAATAAAAATATTATAAATTATATTAATTATTTATTAAAGTAATAGTGTTATATTATATTTTAAAAATATTAATTAGTATATTTTAAATATCTTTATTAAAATATTATTAGATTATTATATTAATATTAAATATATAAATAATATTATCCATTATTAATAATTTAATAATATTATTTCTATGAAATTAATAAATAATATAAATTTTACTAATAATTTATTATATATTATTAAAATATAATATAATATCTTATATTATTATAATATAATTGATTATTATAATATAATTAATTATTTTATTATATTATTAAAAATATAATATTATATTATTAGAAATATTAATAAATATATTTTAAATATTTTAATAATTAATATTTTGATTAAAATGATATTAAAATATTTTATTAATATTAAATTCATAAAATAAAATTATTTTGAGTATTTATTCTTTGAAGTGAAAAGTTCGAAAAATGACTTACGAAAAATCAGACCGGAAGTCATTTTCTAGAAAACACAAAGGAAATTATGTTAATCAGAAACATGTTTTACGTTGACTAACCAATTTTCCTCCAACCAAACACTGGAAAACATTTTCCGGAAAATGAATTACGTGAAACAAACACGAGAAAACATTTTCCGGAAAACGAATTACGTGAAACAAACACGAGATTTCGGGAAAAACCAATTCCGTAATTGGTTTTCCCCCAAACAAACAGACCCTTAATATATCATTTAAAATTAAAATAATAAAATAAATATTATTTTATCTTTCTTCAGCTTCTCTAATATTACATGTCAACCAATCATTTTAAACATGTCATTTAAAATTAAAATAAAGTACATAAACATGTAATTTAATACATGACTATGCTTCCTCATACGCAGGCAAAACTACTGTCATAATGCTTGCCCTCAAAGCCATAGTACCCAGTTTGATCACTACCCAGCAAAACACACAAAATTTGCAGGAATATATTCGAGTCGAGTTTTGCCAGTTTTGCCCACCCCTAATGGCAAGGCCATCCAAGCTTTTATAAAAGGTTTACAATCAAAAGCTGAAGGAAAAGGCCAATCTAAGGAGTTATCAATGCAATTATGGGAGATAAAGAAGCTCGAGTAGAGTTAGACCAAAATGAAATCGGAACAATTTAATTAACTTCCACTTATTTCATTTACTGTCTTTCCCTTCTCCCAGTTCCTACTGAAATGAAAATGGAACAACTTATTTTCCAGTTCTATATCCCTCTTCAAATTTACCAAGACAATTACAGGCACTCAAAAACTGTTTTTGGTTTCAATAGTTTGGGATGTTTAATCAGACCTGGTTGAGGAAAAAAGGTGAAATTCACCAAACATATTTGAAACCAAATAAAATCCCGCTGAAAAGAATACCTTCACGAGAAGACTCTTCCAAATAAAATCCCGCTGAAAATAAGCGCACCAAACTACTTGTTGGATACAAACCTGTTACACAAGGGGAAAAAAAAGAATGAGATGTACCGCACACTGATGGCTGAGTACGAATGAGAACAAATATTTAGGCAAAATCTCCGGCTAGCAGGGGTTAAAAGAAGTTTGATCCTTGAGTAGGTTTTATAAGTTACTCTATTTACATCCAAAAGTACAGACACGTTAGAACTTAGAATAAATTGACAAGCATAGCAACCAATTGAATTCTTAAACTTATCACGCACTTTCTATTGCAATCTGCACGGCATGTTAAATTAACAGTCCATATCTGCCAAGCCATTTGTCCAGATGCTGCTGTGAGAAAGGCATAATATGGCCACCCTGATCAAACATAATTTACAGAAAATTAGCAAAATAAAAAGTTATCACAAGCCTATTACATGTTAGCAAAATTTAAATAGAAAGCAGGAAAATACCTATATCAGCATTGTATCCACTGAGAGCAAGACTACTTATGCATGCAATTCCAAACCCAGTTGTCCACTCTTTAGTTGTATCACCAAACCTCAAGGCTGTAGATTTAACACCAACTTTAATATCATCCTCTTTATCCTGAATGAATGGTTCTCAACGTCAAAGAAAGCAGCTATAATATCCTATCGTTTCATATTCCCAACAGATCTAGGGAAACAAAGCTTTAATCCACATAGATGAAGTACCTCTCAAAAGTTTTTTTTCCCTTTTGTCTCTCTGTGTGTGTGTGGAAGGGGCAGAAAGAAAAAAAATGCATCGTAAACAGGGTTGATCTATTGTTGACAAAATAAGAATTTCCTTTTTTTTTTGGTCTTACAAACTTATTTACAGATACTGTAATGTACTAGTGACCAATAAAAATTATCCTTTCAATTTATATCTCATATATGTATGTATTCAATAAAAAAACTAGGTTCACAAAAAAGCCATTGTTAGCTCCATAAACCAACCCTCATCCTTTTAAAACCGTAACCATCTGAAAAGGATGTGCCTCAATTGTCATCACAAGCCTATTCCCCCTATTTAGTTAAGTCCAACCAGAGTAAAAATATGAAAAGTAAGAAACTTCATATTCATTTATCCAAAATATAAAAAATAAAAGATCAACTAAACAGAATCATACTAGCTCCTCAGAATTTACAATAACAGATTATGTTAAGCTAAGATATTACTCCAGTAAAAGCAGTAAAGAAAGCATGAAGCACATATAGCTTTCAAGAGATAAAGTTGTACCTGATGTGCATATATTGTATCATACACAAGAGTCCAAAATACTCCAGAAAAGTACAGTGGGAGCACAACGGCTGGATCTAGACTCCCTCTAATCGCCGACCAACCTAATAATGCTCCCCAGTTGAAGGTCAGACCAAGATAGGCTTGAGGCTGAATCAACCAGATGAATAGAAGGTAAATAAATAAACAAACTGTAAATAAAAGAAGAAAAAATACATGCAAACATCATTACCCAAAATGTAAACCTCTTCATGAGAGGATAAGAGAAAACTAGCAACAAGGACGAAGCTCCTAATACACGGCTGCAAGAAATGTTAAGCAATATCAGTTATATAAATCAAAATTTGTGTACCAACAAGCCAGATTGAGTTCATCAAATTTTCAAGGGAAGTTGAGAAAAGACAGCATTAAAATTTAGATGAAATGAAACAGAGATCCAGTGATCAAGTCCAACCCAATATTATTCCAATAGAAAATCTCTAGTAAAACCATGGAAGTCTTTTGGTAAAGTTGCACAAGTCCAAATCAATTGAACGATAACCACAAGCAACAGCAAGTGAAAGAACTCTAACCTATAATTATTAAGTTGAAGGAGAATTCCAAGACCCAAAAGCAGTTGAAACCCAAAAAAACAAATCCCTTGAAATGGTTTCAAAAGACCACTTGCAACTGGTCTTAGCTTTGTACGTTCCACCTGCGCGCAAAATGCTCCTATAATCAAATGACTGAAATAATGAAACAGCAGTGTCAAGACTCAGAAATGTGTATAAGTAGAGAATTAAGTGCATTTGCCTGAAATTTGAATCCTTCAAATTCCTATTGTTCTTAATTATATATATATAAGACTTTGATATATTAAGGTTATAAGCCAGCAAAAATACATGTGAGATTGCAAACAAAAAGGGTGAAGAAACCATTAAAGATACCATAGTATCAATATCCCGATCAAGGAGGTCATTGACGGTACAACCAGCACCCCTCAAAAGCAGAGCACCGCAACCAAACAAAGCCATCATCTTAAAATCAGGAAGATCGCCTGGTGCCGATGCTAATGTAATTGACCTACAAAAATTTAGAATATGTTCATGCCAAAAGCAACAAAAATTCAAACAAGTTCAAGAACCGAACAGCGCGACAATTAGAGAAACAAAGAAAAAGAAAAAGGAAGTCTTACCACATGCAAGGCCAAGCAAGTAACCAAGTTCCAATAAGCTTATCGAGGCGGGCAAGCTTAGCGTAAGGCTGAATTCCTCGGGGCAAATAAACGTCAATCCAAAAGGGAACCCCCGTAACATTTTTGTTATTGCTACTACTACGTGGTTGATCACCTTTACCCGAGTTGTCGGCGACTCCAGAAGAGGTGGATATCCAACAAAGTCCAGGTCTGAAATTTGAGAGGAATGACAGATTTTCCTTGGAGACTTTGAAATGATGACGAGAATCATCATAATCGGGAAATAAATGAGAAAGTCGAGTGAACGGTATGCTGAAATGGAGACTGGTAATCGCGGTTGAGGATGATTGCGATGAAGAAGAGAGGATAGAGAGCGAGGAAGCAAGAGAGGGTCTGAGGAGGGCCCTTGAGGCGTAACGAGTGAGCCGAAACGACGCCATTTTTTTCCAGTCTTCTTCCCTGTTACTCGGGTCTAGGTTTAGCGTTTTGTTACGTAAGCTTCAAAAAGGCTTAATTCATTAGAAAGCCCATAAACTATGGTCTTTATTATATTTTGCCCTTATATTATTCTTCTTCTCGTTCGTAAAGTTGTTGACAAATTAAACTCGAAGTATATTATTAATTGAGAATAATTTTTTAATAATAAAGATTTATTGAGAATAATTTTTCAATCATTAATTTTAATTATAATTAAAGTATCAAATGAGATATTATTTAATTTAAATGTACGGTCATACCATTAGCAATTATTAATAAAATATGCCCCTTGATAGAGGTGGCTTAGGCTTGCATCGACTTCGCAACCGCAACACTGCCCTTTTGATGAAAATATGCTTTGCGTTAGACTGTAAATCTCATTCGTTTTGGATTCAACTTCTACGACAGAAATACAAACACTTTGAACGCCGTCCTGGTACTATACATCGCAATGTGTGCTCCTCTCTTTGGCGTTCATTGGCGCATATTTGGATTTCTTTCTTGAAGAACATTGCATGGACTGAGGGAAATGGGGAGAAAATTTGTGTCTGGGATGATGTTTGGATACCAGCCTTAGGCCCGTTGCGTGATAAAGTTGTAAACCCACTGGGAGTCTTTGAAAATCAATATCTGGTTGACTTTGTGGATGAAAATGGTGAATGGAGAATGCAAGATTTTCAAAATTTATTACCTGCAAATGTGATGACCCACATCGTTGGGATTAAACTACCAAATGCTTGTGGTGAGATGTTCCAATGCATTTGGAAATGGTGGCCAAAGCATGATTTTAATGTACAATCAGCGTACGAAGCTTTAGTTGATAGCTCACCAACGAATTATGACAAACTCCGAAAGATGCAAGCGCAGTTTATCAAGCGATCCTTCCTGTCCTTTTTGTGGTTCACATCAAGAGTCAATTTTGCATGCTCTACGAGATTGTCATGCCATACACCAGCTATGGAAGAAAATACTCCGTCACGACACGTCTACGAATTTTTTGGATCTTGATTTGGAGGATTGGATCCTCGACAACATCAAGACAAAGACTCTCCTTTATGATAATTGTATCCCATGAGACCTTATGTTTCCCTCTATGGTTTGGAAGGTATGGAAGCGAAGAAATGAATTTATCTTCAACAGAAGTCGTCGATCCACAGATGAGGTTTTCCGAACAGGCCTAGCGTGTGTGCAACACTTCAATGGATGCGCTGCTCCGCCTAGAAGTATTCTAGTTCGGCCACCATAGTTTATGCAGGGGGAGAAACCACCGACCAATTGGTTCTGTCTGAATGTTGATGGAGCTGTTAACACGAGTGTCATAAACCATATTTCGGGTAAAACAATTAAATATTGTTTTAAAAACAGTTACGACTTTAATTTGAAAAATGTGATATTTTGGATTAAATTGGATAGAATTGAAAAGAGTCGCCATCGACCTTTGGGTTAGGTAGGTCGAACTCCATCTTACATGATTTGCGTTTTACCAGAAATACGTCGGATTAGGGAGTCAATTACAGTCAAGGAAGTATTAGCACCATTGAACCGCCCTTTCGGTACCATTTAATTTGTCGGTTGTCTTAATTGCGAAAATTAAAATTTAAATTGAAATTTAAAAATTCAATTCGAAATACTTACATTTTATCGATTGAAATTACTACTGAAAAGTCAAACAAAATATTAGATGGTAAAATAAAATATTGAATGCTAAACAAAAAGAAAATTTTAAAAGGTTAAATTAAAATAAAAATTCTAAGATAAAAATAATATTAATAAGGTGAAATAATGTTACAAGTAAAAATGAAGAAAATGTTAAAATAAAGAAATTTAAGAAAATGTTAATATCTAAAAGAAATAAAAAGTAAAAAAAAAGAAAATATAAAATTTTATGAAATAATAACAATAATAATTTTTTATTTCTAAAAAATGAAGAAAGTGTTAAAGAATCACACAATAACTAAACAAAATACCAAACACACAAAATCATTAATTAAAATGAGACTATTTCAAAATTAAGAGACCGAAATAAAAGAAAATAAAATATTAATGAACAAAATAAAACATGTATAAATTCCTAGACCAAATTTGAATATCAACAAATATAACATTAAACATAAATTAGTGACTAAAATAGTAATGATTGAAACTAGAAACTTAAAATAAAATAACATAAAACTTCATTTCATGGCTTAATAATAAGATTACAAATACCGAGGGACCTAGAATGTTATTATCCCATCTCAGAAAACACGCTGAAGGTTCCTCGTTAAAACGACATCGTTTTGCACTGTATATATATATATTTAAGACCAAAATGGTCTCATTTTCTCATTTCTCTCATTTGAGCCGAGAGAAGAGAGAGAGAGTGAGAGAAAAATTCTTTCAACTCTCTCTTAGGAGGGTTAATCGGCCGTCGCCGTCAGTGATTGCTTTCGGCGGTTAACGATGATCGGCACGACATCGTAAGTTGGTCGGAGGGACCAAATTAAACCAAAAGCTTCATCCCGTTCTACACAACCCGGATTTAAGCCCCCTTTAGCCTAAATTCTACCTCAAACCCCTAGATCTAGGAAAAATACCTCTCGAAATTTTGGAGATCCAGTGACCCTTCAACTTCTCGGTGGTAAGAACTCCTCTTCCTTTTCTTTTGTTTTTCTTTCTTTTATGTTCGAATCCCCTCCCCGAATACTCTGTTTTTTAGTTTCGAATATTCTTTATTTTTTTCGGTATTTTTCTCTTCAAAAACTTTGTATCTGTCTCCTCTCCTTTTTTTATTGTAGTGTTCCCCATATTATAATGATAGCATGTAGGATTCGTAAAAATCTCAGATCTTTCGGGATTCATTTTTGTTTATTTAGTTTGGGCTTGATTTTCGTGGTTGTTCACGTAGGTGATGACGATGGCGGCTTCAAGAAGACTCGGCGGTCGACTGGAATGTTCGGTGGCGGCTCAGGCGCCGACTTGGAGGAGCGCACGCGGCGATGGTTCCAAATTTTTCACTGGCGACGGCAGCTGGAATTCATTAAAAACCCTAGTCGGGTTGGTTCGGGTTGTTGGGCTTTAATCGGGTCGAGTCTGGGTCATTGGCAACTTGTATTGGATTGGGCTTTAAGGCCTGCAAAATTTGTAATTTGATTTTATTAATAATAATAATAATTAATTAATAAATAAATAATTTTTTTTGACCAGGACAAAACGGGTGTCTACAATTGCCCCTCTTTGCACATTCTTGTATCAACAAGAATAGGCCAAAGACGAAAAAAAGACAACCGATTTTTGTTCGATTCTCTTTTTCATTTTAAAATTTGATGTGCTCATTGTTTGTGAACAACTGTAATTGGGCTTTGAATTGAACCTGGAATTGGGCTTTGGATTGAGCCTGGAATTGGGCTTTGGTATTCTTCTCGATTTAAAGACATCGACTTGAAAACTCTTCCGAAAAGTAGTTCCTCGATTGTACAATGTGGTTAATACACTCTCGAGCTGAATGGAATCGAACTCGGAGGTTTTCATTGACAGATAATCATTCTCGCCTTGAGTTATGTTGTAAATTTTATTGGGATATAGTTTCTTGTTGCTAAATCACAACCAAACCAAGTCTTCTTCTCGACTTACAAAACTCGGTTTAAAATTTTTCCGGAAGGTAGTTCCTTGATGCTACCATGCGGTTGATATGTCTTTGAACTGAATAAAATTGAACTCGAAGATTCTTGTTGACATATAACCCTTCTCGCCTTGAGTTATGCTGTAAATTTGGCTACCCTTGAGCTGAATGTAATCGAACTCGAAGGTTTGTTGACAGATAGCCCTTTTCGTCTTGAGCTATACTGTAAATTTGGCTGCCCTTGAGATGAATGTAATTGAACTCGAAGGTTTGTTAACAGATAGCCCTTCTCGCCTTGAGCTATACTGTAAATTTGGCTGTCCTTGAGATGAGTGTAATTGAACTCGAAGGTTTGTTAACAGATAGCCCTTCTCGCCTTGAACTATATTGTAAATTTGATATGCCCTTGAGCTGAATAGAATCGAACTTGAAGGTTTGTTGACAAATAGCCCTTCTCGCCTTGAGCTATGCTATAATTTGATATGCCCTTGAGCTGAATATAATTGAACTCAAAGGTTTGCTGACAGATAGCCCTTCTCGCCTTGAGCTATGCTGTAAATTTGATATGTCCTTGGGCTGAATGTAATCGAAATTGAAGGTTTGCTGACATATATCCCTTCTCGCCTTAAGTTATGCTGTAAATTTGATATGCCCTTGAGCTGAATGTAATCAAACTCGAAGGTTTGTTGACAGATAGCCCTTCTCGCCTTGAGTTATGCTATAAATTTGATATGTCCTTGAGCTGAATGTAATCAAACTCGAAGGTTTGCTGACAGATAGACCTTCTCACCTTGAGCTATACTGTAAGGCTAGGAGATAAACTCCTATTGCTGAGATGACTCATTTGCTGTGAAACTAAGTCAATCCATTTGGGCACGATATCATTCTTTGTGAAGTTGAAATCGTGGATGGCTCTTTCGCTGTGAAGTTGAGCTTTGAATTGGATGTCATTCGTTGTGAAGTTGAAATCCAAAATTGCATCGCTTTTGAGTTCAATATATTTCACTGTAAAGTTAAAATTGACTCTGAATGAATATGGTTGTGTCATAGATGACTCATTCGTTGTGAAGTTGGGTCAATCTTTTGGGTACAATATCCTTTGTAGTGAAGTTGCAATCGTGGATGGCTCCCCTTCACGAGTCTGAACCAAGTGAGAAGATATTTGGATTACTCCCCTTCACGGGAAAGTCATGTAAGATGTTCTTCAAGTGATGTTGAAATCTGGTATGAAAACTTTAACTGGAAACTAGATACTCACCATCGAGTTAAGCTAAACTGAATCTACTCTGAATTGACTCTCGATCTTTCTATTGGACAAGTTGGTTGAGATGTAGCTCCTCACCACTGAGTTAAGCAACCACC